CTCCTAGGAATGCAATATGGGCTTCAATTGTGAGAAATCCACTCCAAAATAGCTCCTTGAGTTTGTTCTTCGCACTTTCTCTCTCTAGAACTTTGTTTTTTTTCTCCAAAAAGTCGACCTCCTTCAAAATATGAGTTCCCCTGCAATAAAACCCTCACAGCTGCAAAAACACGGCCTCTAAGCCATAAAAATTTGTCGTATTTTAATCAGAAGAGGTCGTGTTTCGAAATGACGATTCTGTGAAGTGCAGAGGAAAAACCGGGCCTCTGACACAAGGCCGTGTTTTTCAGCATAGAGGGTGTGTTTGAGGGCGTGTTTCTCAGCAACCCTGCTGCCCGGTTTTCGCGATCGACCTTCTTTCACCTCCAAATGTCCCGAAACTCGTCCCCAAGCCATATCTACGTACTAGGACCTGAAATATGACATAAGAACACAACCTAGCGTAAAATAAGCCAATGAACGATCAATCGCTAAGCTAAACGATCAAAAAATGAAGGGAAAAACATGTGTGAATGCGATGTTATCAACCGCCAAGAGTGTCATTTAATTATACATTGATCATTTCATCAATATTTCACAACTTAAAAGTCCCAATCCAACTCAATTTTCACTTTCCAAATTAAGTCACTCTCTTATCTCACCTAATCTCTTATTATTTTCATAACACAAAAAATCAAACACTAGTATTAGTCATCTCTCAGCCTCCAATTCGCCAAATTAAAAATTACCAATGACAAGAACTTGAGATGTCACCTCTCCTCTATTCTTCTTATAAATATCCTAGCTCTAGGAAAAATCAAGATTCTTTGCTTAGTCTCTTTGCCCTAAATTAAACAATCAAATCTAATTTATATATTTAATTATTAATTGCAAAGGTAATTAATTTCGTATTTGATAATATTGATTGGGATACCGAAGTACCGATTGGGATACTAAAATATTTAGGGATTGAGATTGGGATACCAGAATTATTTAGGAATTGGTATTTGGAGTGATTTTTGGGTTTAATTCGGTATTCGGGATTTTGGTATTTGGTATAGGGATACCGATACGGCGATACCGTACCGATTTCCACCCCGACCAATATTAGTGGATCTCGAACCTGTATCTTACAGAACTCCTTCCACCCCATACCATTGTCTGTTCGAAGCTTGTTGATCTTCTTGCTAGTTTGATTATCCACTAGGACCTTCCACTGCTTGAACTTCTTGAAGACTTCATGAATATCCAAGTAAACCTTGAGTAATCAGCGATAATAGACAGAAAAAATACATGCACCCTCCAATGGATTAAACTCCTAAAGGACCCCAACAATCAGAGTGGAGGTAATCTAGTATCCCTTCGTCCGATGGATACCCTTTGATGCACTCTATTTATAGTGTTTATCACTCCCATATTTGATATATTTTCCCCTTCTATCAATTCATACTTGGGATGATCAAGTCTAGACATTCATAGATGAATTATTTCTGCCTTGGGAAGTTGGTACGCTAGAAAATTACATGCAATAAGTCGATCACCACCATAACCATGGATTCGACCAACTCCGGCTATAGCATATGTTTGCTGATGGGTTAAATCATGAATCATATCAATTCTTACATTTTGTTTATGGGGGAAATATTTGGGAGGCACCTAGAAACCTAACCCTATGTTGCAGAGTTATCTTGTAGAAAAAAAAGGAAATTGCTTAACTAAGAAAGTGCTCTCCTTGGGAAAGGCCATCTAAAAAGAGAAATATGCCAGACCAACCTTAGCGTATGGACACGCCTAGGACTATGTGTGGAAGGAAATCACCCTTGTAATCTCCCTTGGTCAAGATTGTTAACTATACTATGAGAAAGTTGGACCTAGGAGGACAAGAAAAAAGAGGGTCGAGCTTGTCAGCACTCCCACCCATCTTGCCACTCTACGTAAGACCTCACGTTAACAATCAAACAACTAAGGAGATGGAGAACGGGCTTGCTTTAGTCGAAGCACGACTTGATGAGTTAGAAGCTGAGTTAAATAGCTCTGACCATTAAAAACATACGGATTATCTGATAGAGGAGATAGGTCTAGAGCCCAGGTTAGGGGAAATTGAGCCAATGACCCATCACCAAGCTGTAGAAATTAAAGTAGTGAACTATGGTGAAAAAGGTGACCTCAAAACCTACTTCTCAAAAATGATTTTTGACTCATTACCATGGATGATCCAAAGCCACTATCAAGAGCCTCGAGGGGTGAGAGAAATTTGGGCATGATTGAGCCAGGCCCTCCAAGTAAGATAGGAATCAATAGCTGGGTTGAGAAGTGGATCATATTCTTACATTGTGTCTTTTCTCCGCTTGCTTTAAACTTTCAGAGCTTATTTTTTGGGAGCCAAATGAAAAATAGGCCCTTATATGAGAAATCCCCCGTCTATGGGGAGATTCCAAAAATGGCACCCAATTCGGCAGGCCGGGCGGCCAAATTAGGCTTTTGGCTGCCATTTTCTATGGGCCAGGAAAAATATGACTTTTGGCAATCACAGGCCTCCTAGAAGTCCACCCAACAACATATAGAACTCTTTTTCGTACAAAAAAACATAGAGAGAAGGCCTTCCCTCTAATAAAAAGGATATCCAAGTCATTACTCCTTGTGGAAAAGGGATCCTATCCCTATAAATGTCCTCTTCATCTACGCAATTTTGTACACCAGTATGCATGAAATTAGAGAAAGAGTTTAAGGTCATAATGGAGAAGACAAAAGGCGCTAACGGTCAGAAGCAGTTCAGCGTCCAGAACAGGGAAAATTTGCACAAAAACGATGCTAAAATGGACAATTTCTAGGAGGAGCAAAATCATGCTGAGCTTAATCCCACGAACACCCACTAGGATTTACTGAAAAGTTTAGGGGGAGAAAAGGTTGATTTGCCCATCTTGGAAGCAATAATGGGGATGCCTAACCCTATTCAGGCAATAAGAGATTTGGTACATAAAGAAGATCACCCTTGATATGCCTTGAAAAAAGTTTACAATTGAAAATCAACCCTCAAATATATATCAAGGCTTTGTCAAAGCGGTATGACCTGGGGATATTTAGCATCCTGATGTGATCCTGGATGGTGGTCCAAAACCATTATCATTGATGTTCAAAGAAGAAATCAAGTCAAGGGAAGACAAAGCTGGAAATCTGGCTAAGTCTGGGAATCAGTTCGTGGTACCTACTTTGAAGGCTTACTCCTTTTGTTTGGGAGACATCCGAGGAGAGTTAGGAGTTGGGGATGAAAGTAGAAGTGATTCTAAGCATCGTGAAGGTGTTGGATGATCAATTTGAAGCTTCATGGACACCAAACAAATAGCCTGAAGATTGTATGGTGACCGGTCAAAATCCACGATTATAAAACTGAAATCCACGACAGTGTATTTTAAGTTCAGACAGTCGATTTTGATCAGAGCAATTCCACGCCCAAGAGACCCAAATCCATGAATTTGGAATCTGAAGGGCAGACCGTGGAATTTGACTTGACGAGTTTTATTACCTTTTTCTTCTTTTTCCATTTTGGTGTTTTGATTATGTTTATTTTTCCAGACCTATTTAAAGGGTTGTACACACGAATTTTAGAAGATAGAGAATTTTGTTGAATGAAAATTAACTATGAGGAGTTTTCTCCATAGAGCATGAGTGCTTATGGTTCATTGCTTTAGCTATTGGTGGATTCCATAGCTAGTGCAAGATACTTGTTGTAGTTTTTATGTGGAGGATTCCAGAAGAGCTTAGAAGACTCTTATCAATCAAGCGGTCACACTTGATTGTACGTATCCTTTACTTTTTGAGTTATTGAGAGAAAATCCAGAAAACCCTAACAAAGCTTTAGAGGTTGTGTTGTGAAAATTGTTCACGTATACTAAATCTTGCAAAATAAGCAACATGTCAGATCACAAAAAATCATGCAAAGATACATATGACCGTCCTAGCCGACAAAATTCATTGTCTCTCCTTAAAGAATCTTATTCCCCTCTAGTACCCAATGTTATGGAATGATTCCTCTCAGGATAGAAAGGACGTACCTTTTCCGGCATAGCGGTACCTCAAACCCCGAAAACCATCGAATGCAGCAAACCGGCGAGAACCACACTTTACTCGATTTTCTCGTTGAAAAACAATGTAGAAAAATCACTTTAGAATTTGGCAGAGTTTTTTTTATGGAAAACACGTATGTTTCTTGTAGTAAAAACTAGAGGGGGGTATGGTGCTATTTATAGAAAATGAAGGGGTATGTACGAAGGGAGACAACTCTTCATATGGGTGGTTACAACCAACCATTGCAATGGTTCGTTTAAAATATTTCAACCATTGCATTGGTTCGGCCTCATGGAAGTTGGACCGGTTTCTTTATTCCAACCGCCCCATGGTTCGGTTCAATTTGGTTACATTTGATTCAGTTTGGTATGGTTGGTTACACAACCCAATTTAAGCGATTACCCACATATATTACATCAAATCCATCGAATTCGAGGTTGTGCCTTCCTCTATCTTACCAACATGGTATTTCAAGAGATTCTCTTGGATCTTTCCCCTTTCATTTCCATTCACACCATTAAAAAATCCCAACAATCCCCCACATGAATGGAGAATGTTGTACTTCAAAAACTAAGCGAAAAACTCGTGTCACTACAAGAAACTTCACTTTCTGCTACGGACAAATTCGTCGCAGAAGGCAAAAAATTCGTCGCAGAAACATTCTGTGACGAATTCTTCCGTCGCAAAAAGAAAAAGCAGTTTGTCGCCCATTCAGCGTTGCAGAAAGTACTGCGACGAAAAAAAAAGCTTCGTTGCAAAAACAATCCATGTCATCGCTGAAAGTGAATGATTTGCGACGGTAGATTCGTCGTAAGATAACCATTTTGCGAAGATGTTTCCGCCGTTGCAGAAAGTTCGCATATTCTGCGCCGAATACTTCGTTGCAGAAAGGTTTATTTTGCGACGGATCAATAGTCGCAGAAGGTTACAAAAGATTTAGCAACGAAGATTTTTTTACAGTAATTCAGTATTTATTTTCGAGTTAATTTTAGTATAGTCACAATTCATTTTCGGGTTAATTTCTGTATTGGTCACAATTTTTTTTTGGATTTTTTTTCTGGGTGTTCCTTATTTCATAAACATCAAAGATGCACCTCGTCAAAGCCAAATTTCCAGACTTCGTCCAAATAACTACACTATCCATTCCTCATCCAAAATCCAAATTTTTAAGTTAGGATACCAAACCTGGAAAAACAGAAACAAAGTTAGATTTGTAGATACAACAACAAAGGAAGGAAATTTTTTAGAAAAACAAGATTGGAGAAAGAACAGATCTAGTTTCGTTCTTTCATTTTTCTCGTCAGAAGAGTAGATCAGGTTCTTCTTCATCCCGCGCCGGTAGCCGATTCGCGCGGCCAGAGGCCATTGGCGACCCATCGAACTTCCTTCATCGTGGCTGGAGCAGATCTGGAACCAGTCAAGCTTCCTTCACCGCCGTCTTCATCGCGGCTGGAGCAGATCTGGAACTAGTCAAGTTTCCTTCACCGCCGTCTTCTTATTCCCTCCTTCTAAAACAAATCCGAGAAAGAAAATTGTCACAATCCCACTCTTGAACCAGAAAACCTCATCTTACCCGGATCGTCGCTTTTCCGGCCGAGAGGAGTCGATTCGCCGCTGTTATAGGCCAATACCCATGCCGCTGGTCGATCTTCCTCCATCGCCATTGACAACGAAGCTACCGACGGTCCCTTTTCTTCTCCCTCACCGTCGATCTTTCCTTCATCGCTCACGAGATGAGCAGATTCGAGTTGTCGATGATTTGGGTGAGAAGATGAGAGAGGAAAAAGACTAAAAGAGAGAGGCAAAAGAGGGCGGCTAGGGTTTTCTTTACCTTCCACTCTTGTTATATAATATACTAACCCACTGTCATTATGTCTTCCCCTTTACGAAGAACTAAATTATTGGTTGCTTGAAGTTTCGAACAGTTGACCTTCTACACACAAAACATTGACTCTGCAACATTTAAGCGATTTAAACCAATCGGGCTACAAGAAAACATTTGTTATCTGTTAGTTTTAATCCCTTTTTACTCATTAGTAAATCTTAATAGAAAAGTCAAAAGGTTCATCAAAGCGCTTTAGAGTTTGGACTATCTTTTGGTTGGTCTGTATGCCAGGGGTGCGCGTAGCTAGTATTCCCGGTGTAGAGCTTGGTTGTAATTTCATACTATCTTTTTTGTTTTTCGAAATCTAAGCAATGAATTCACGATTATAAAAAAAAAAAAACAAATTAGTCTACGACCGATTATTTGTTATTTTAGACTATTCTATTCCTCTTATGGCTTAGAGATTTGTAACAATTAAGTTGGAATAATTCAGTTCCAAAAAACGAAAGAAGCTTATGTTGGAATAATTAAGTTTCATTAGTAAAATATTGTACGGGTAGGTTACATATAAAATACGTACGGGTATTTTACTTTGTCTCTAAACTAATTTTACGCTCAATAGTACGTCAATAGTCATAATATACAAAATTAATTATTTTAAAAACAAATAAATACCTAAATAATAGTTAAGTTAGCAATTTTATTCATTAAATACGGATATTAAACGTATTCTTAAGATTCTCCTTAAGAAATGAGGCTTAAGGACTTGAACTCAAGCCTGGATCAGGTCCTTAAGCCTCATTGTTTAAAGAGGTTCTTAAATCATTTTTATTGGCTGATACTAGATTAGGTAGTTAATGAGGGTTAGTAGTTAATAGTTAATTGAAATAAATAAGATATTATGAAAATATAATTAATATTACTCATTAATAATTCTCTTTCTCTCTCCCCTTGATATTCTCCATAACCCTCTCTCTCCACTACAATTAAAAGGAAATTCGAAATTAATTTAATTAAATATTATTACTTAATATTTAATAAATTTGAACTTAATATTTTTTATTTTTTAAAATGAAAATTGAAAATTAAAAATATGTGCTCTTTCTCACTTAGTGGCAACTTGCAATGCAGTATTAACATTTTGCAATGACATTATCAGTATTTATGAAATGAATCGTTATTATTATACCTCATCATTATTAACGACTTCAATATACTTATCAATGTCTTACAATTACATTATTAACAATTTTGGATCAATTGTTACTGTTTTATAGTTTCGTCATCAACGCCTATGAATGAATCATCAAAGTTATGTAACATGGTCATTAACAGTTGAATGACAATATCATTGATTTACAACATCTTTAATACTAATGATTCACATTTTCACATCATGTTTATAACTATCTAGTCATGGCATCTTCCAATGATTTCTAAACACAATACTTATTTTCAACATCTTGGCTACTGGTGACATAGTGCACCTGTGTGATTCAGTCAAACAAACATTGTCAAGAAAAATATTAGCTCAAGCAAACCAACATTCACGCCTCAACACCAAACTTTTAATAACAATACAATAAATCAGTGATAACTTAAAGTATTTTGTTGAAAATAAACACAAAACATCAATGTAAAAATGTCCGACTTCAACATTATAAATAACATCAAGCTTTTAATAAAGATATTAAAAACCATTAATAACGAATGATCAAGCCACTGATAAGGAAATATATTTTTGTTATAAAAAATATTAATAATATTCAGATACAATGTTTAATATCAAATAGCACTAAAAACGCATTAATAAGTAACATGTGTTTAATGGATAATGCATCCAAAATCTTTGATAATGATAGCAACTAATGATTGTTAAGTACCTTACTAGATATTATTAATATCTTATTTTTTCAAACATTGATAATGCTATACACACCTATTAATAATGACACCAACTACGTTACTAACTTAGACTGAAAGATTAATAACCATAGTTATATCACTAAACGTAAACTCACTTTTGCTAATGTCATAAACAAACGAATACCTAACAAGTATGCTTCTTAATAATGATATTTGACAAAGTTACAAACATAAACGAAAAAATATTAATATTTCAAATCACTAAACATAAGCAATGTTACAAATGAAATAAAATTTTGCTAATGGTTGTATTGTGCTTGGAAAAAATATTGATAATATCACTTCAAATGATTATAAATCATTGCTAACCAAATTGATTATACGATGTAATGATAAATAAACTTCAAGTACCAACAAATTGTAAACACAATTTCACTTTTGCTAATGTTACAAACAAAACATAACGTAAAAAGTTAATAATGTCATATAAAATTATTAAAAATATGTCGAACAACATTAATAATAACACAAACGAATACATAACAGTGAAAAATCCTAAACCCATGCAACGAAAAGCCCTAATGATGATTCAATTTATAAATATTGATAATGTCATTACAAAATGTTAACACTAATCGGAAGTTGCCAAGATGTGAGAGAGACATATATTTTAAATTTCAAATTTCCATTTTAGAAAATGAAAATTATTAAATTCAGATTTTATTAAATATTAAATAATATCAAATAAAATTAATTTTATATTTCTTTTTAATTATAATGTAGAGAGAGGGCTATGGAGAAAATCATGGAAGGAGAGAGAAAGAGAATCATTAATTATATTTGCATAACCTCATTTACCCTTAACTACCTATTAACTACTAACCCCATTAACTACCTAATCCACTATCAGCCAATAGGAAGGCTTTAAGATTCTCCTTAAGAAATGAGGCTTAAGGACTTGAACTCAAGCCTTCTACAAGTACGTGTTTAGTACGCGAGCCATAAAATGAATGGGGGAAAATGAAATGCCTTGACAATAATACGGATACGAAAGTTTTAAACGAATAAAATACGTATGGGTACATATACGTGTATTAAACGAAGTATTTAATAATGTATTTACTAACTATGATTCCAACTTTCAATAATATAAAATTTCTTGAAACATTATATGACGACTGAAAAACATCACACAAAGTCTCAAACATTCTGCGACGAAAGGTTATTGTCGCAGAAAGTCTCCATCGATTCTGCGACGACAGAGAATCGTCGTAGAAAGTCTCCATCAATTCTGCGACGACAGGTAACTGTCGCAGAAAGTTTTGAACGTTATGCGACGACAAACAATTGTCGCAGAAAGTGTCCATCGATTCTGCGACGACAGAGAATCGTCGCAGTAAGTCTCCATCAATTCTGCGACGATAGAGAATCGTTGCAGAAAGTCTCCAAACATTCTGCGACGAAAGATAACCGTCTCAAAAAAATTGAACACAATCTCCAACGAAAAAATGAATTTCGTCGGAAATTGTACACTTTCTGCGACGAATTTCTTATCGTCGCGATAGAATTCATCGCAGAAAGTGCAGTTTCTTGTAGTGTGTGATTCTCGACTAAGAATTAGTTGCATCGGGATAGGTAGGTTTCCCTTTGAACCTTCCTTAGTGAATATATATCGAGTATACTCACCAATCGGTAGATGTGATATCTTTGAACCGTCGGTTTTGCTTGTATACTAAGACAACATATGTCACACAACTAACTCTTATTTGTTCACCGGTTCTCATTGTTGTGTTCATTTTAGCCATGAACACCGTCTAGTCTCATGAGTGCTTAGAGAACTGGCCTTCTTTTATTCTCCTTGAAGCGGCTCTACTTCACACTCACATAGGTGATTTCTAAACGTGTATTCTGAAAATACACTATTTGATCACACCAAGTGTCAAACTTAGAAACCATTAAAAACCTTTCATATTTAGGTTTACCCTTATTTTTGGACATTGTCTCATCATGAGAATGGACTTTGAATAATTTTACAATGTCGGACAATCATTCACAACTTTGTATGCTCCTTGAACCTAGAGGTTGGGTCTGCCAATCCTACATAGGTAGAGTTACCGCCATGATGATTTGTCCTAGGCCACGAGTCCATTCCCTTTGATGCTTCAATTAATTTCTAGATGGGCCTCACGTTTGTTATCACTTAATCAAACAATAATGTTATGTTTCTATGACGAGATTCTCACATAACACTCCTAGCCCTTGCAATAACCATTTTGTGCACAAGTGCGTTTATTAAAGCCAGTCTTTGCGGGATAGAATATTGAACTTCACCGGTCTTAGAGTGGGTATACATATTTTAACTTGGACATTTTCCAAGATACTGCTCCCTGTTAACTATAGCGCCAATCCTACTTAGATAGAGTTACCGCCATGATGATTTGTCCTTGGCCACGAGTCCATTCCCTTCGATCCTTCAATTAATTTCTAGATGGGCCCCACGTTTGTTATCACTTGATCTCAATGATCATCTCCGTAACTTTGCTAGAAATTAATCAATCAATAATGTTATGTTTCTCTGACGAGATTCTCACATAACACTCTTAGCCCTTGCAATAACCATTTTGTGCACAAGTGTGTTTATTAACGCCAGTCTTTGCGGGCCAGACTATTGAACTTCACTGGTCTTAGAGTGGGTATACATAGTTTAACTTGGACCTTTTCCAAGATACTGCTCCCCGTTAACCATAAATGCCTATCCAATAGTGGACTAGGGCTTTTGGTTCTCCCGGTGAGTTCATTTGGATAAAATACACCAAAGACTCGTCTCCTTTGATTCACTACACATCATATGTGCTTGACTTGATTTTATTGTCTTAATCGTAGCACATGCCAATGGTGTTGAAGTCACTCCACTTTATTAACCTTAGAGTACTCGAAATTCACAAGTATCTCTTTCAATGTAGTGACATTTAATACTTAGCTTAGGGTTTACGCAAAACTTCTAAGTATCACTTTAATTGGAATCCCCCACATTTCAACTATTTCTCCATAGTTGTTGAAACTCAATGTTCTCGATAAGGGGAATCTCGTACATATACATGCATGTATATCATTGACATCATTTTCCCTTTGGAGAGAGTGGATTAACTTCTCTAAGAAATCTTCTTTGAAATTCTTAGACTAGCTCTCTGACATGAATGTCAATATAGGCTAGATTTTACACATATAAGTTATACCCTTAGACTGGGTTAACTCCACAAGGTTTATGGTCTTTCTCTTTCTCACTTGACACCTTCATACTTTCAAGTATGACGTGTTTGACCTTTCCATTTTTTTCGTCATGTATAGGTTCGTGTCTCATGTAGGGTTTTGAGATAGTTGCCGGAACAACGGTCTCCCCGACAATCCTACCATTTGCAAAACATCATGGAATAAATTAATTTATTTTCAATAGCTTTACTTATTGAACTTGACAACCACTATCTTCATCTAATTGTTTACCAATGGTATAGACTAATTCATTTAGCATACCACAAACAATTCAGATCTTATTAGAAATATCATCTAATTACTTACCAATGGTATTGACAAGGCAATGAGATGCCACAAGTAATTCAAATGCATTCTAAATTGTTCTAGAAGCCCCATCTAATTTCTTACCAATGACATTTCATCAAGGTAACTTGGCATACCACAAGTAATTCAAATGAATTTTCTAAACCAGTCGTCTAATTACTTGCCAATGGTATATGCTTCATAAATATACCATAAGTAATTCATACCTTAAGTTCAATAAACTCATCTCAAATGAACTCTCATGCCAAATTGTTTTCCAATGATATTGCGTACATATACCATAAATAATTCTGACGATGCTTACTTTGATGATCGCTTTTCTTTGGCTAGGTTGTACAATCCTTATAAGGATCAATCATAGCTACATTTTACTTGCTCTCATGGCATAGAAAACATCAAGTCCTAAACCACATATATAATAAATAAATTATCATGTCTTCGCAAAAAGGAATTAAATTCCTTATCGCTTGTGGCTTACTCGTAATGCAATCCTCTAGACGTGCATTTACCAAATTTCATCTCCAACACATTGGATGTATACTTTATCATACTATGTTCAACTTACTTTGAACATAACCTTTGCATTCACATTTGCAACAACTTATGCTTAGATATACTTGAACACAAGTCCTCACAAACCTTGCGTCATAGGTTTCACACACCTATGGCTGTTCATATTTCTTAATCGGATAGTTTAACACCATCCAAACCACCTTTGAACCCACAAAGGGATATCTTGGATTTGATCCATTGCACACAGAGTATAAGTTCTTCTATCCTCTCATGCATCACGTTGAATGATCAAGAGCCCAAAATAATTTTGACCAGTGCGACGAACATTGATTTACCATTATATAAATATATAATTTACATAAGCACATCATCATGCATTGACTCCATGTATCGGGAATTCTAACCATCATATTGTTTCAATTTTCTCCAAAACCACAACCAACTTTGCATCAACCAAAGTGTTGTATCTCACAAGTACCAAAATTGAAACCCAAGAACATGAATTTCTTTGTAATATTCAACCAAGTTGAATTTCCATGAATTTTTCTCATAATGTGAATTATGAGTTCGTTTCCATCCCAAATGCTATAAAATTTTTTTTGGTATCATTAACCAACTCGAGTTAATTGGTTCACCATTCTTTTCTTTTCACATACACGTTGCACCTTGTGCGCACGCATGAGAACTGAGAAGCCTAACCAAAGCTTTCTTTTGCATTGACTTATTAAAATGGCCAGAAAAGAATAAAACATATAAATTTAATCCCACGCAACACCAATAATTAAAAGAGGTAGCATACACAAGATTACTGAGAGAAGTGAATGTGGAGAACTTCTTCTACCTCTGTTTCCGTAACCAGCCGAGAGAACGGACATAATGTTTCATGTCCCAACAGCTTATGTTTCATATTGGACTGCCATGACGTTCCAATGGAAACTTTGCCAGGCCATTCTTTCTTTGTTTCCTCCAACCACAAAACAGAACCCTACATGGTAATAGGAACAGAGTTCCTTTCTTTCTTCCTCCATTCTCTCCGACGTCAAGGAGAGTAAAACATGTGGTTAATGTAAGCATATATATATATATATATATAATCCAGACGTATGCATGAATGATGGAACACAACTATAGATAACGATTCATATATTATAGATGCCATCTTTTCTTCCAACGACAGTGAGAAGTTTTACCGGAGGTATATAAATCTATTCATACTTATCAGAGCAGATACAGAAACCAAGTACATTCTCATAACGGTAAATCAATTAACAAATTGATTACTAAGCAAATTGGTACACCAATTTATCGAGGGACAGAAAGTTATCCATTTCACTTGATACACAAGGAAGCGGGAAGTCCTATGTCATCACAAAAAATTCATTATATCCAGAAATTGATCAAACAACAAACCAAATTATATATATACACCACGGCATTTATATACAGAACCCGAGACTCAACCTCAAATATATGCAGTAGCAACCCGATCGGAATTACCTTCTTTCTAATGTGTAATGACAGCCGAGACCAAGTACAGAATAAAAACACGTTTCTGGTAGGGTTAATACATTTTTTTGAAAATGATAAATTTTATAAATTAACCAAAATTATCAAATTAAATTTTATAATTTAAAAATTATGATATAAATTATATTTTTTGGGAAATTTTAAAAATAAAAAATAATTTGATAACTTTTGGTTAATTTATAAAATTTATCATTTTCAAATTATCCAAAAAATAAATTTATTTTATGTTTTATTTAATTTATTTTTGGTTAATTTGATAATAAATAATTTTTTTAATGATTTTTAGGTTGACTAGGCAATAACATGGCGTGTTGACTAACGGTTAACGGAGTTGACCGTCCAAATTGACAGTCAAACTATGTGTCGGGCCAATTGAGTCTATATGCAGCATAGTTGAGGACAGGATATTAATTTCTAAAATCACGAGCCAAAGTTGATTATATGGTCATAGTTCGGGCCAAAATAAGGTATTAACACTTTCTTTTAATCACCCAATACATAACAGTTATACTCTACTGCATACAATTATCTCCTAGCATACAAAAATTAATGATCAATGTCGTACGTAATTTTTCCCGAAACCCGAACAATATACGAGGACAGTATGCATAAAACAATGGCATACACGAACACATGATCATATAACATTCAATCATGCCAAACTTTATATATCCCAAAATTCTGAATGCAACTTTTGGGAAACCAAAACAGAATACGAGAACAATAACCAAAAAAAAAAAAATTCTTTAAGATTGTTGTTGAAATTGTTCACGTATACTATATCTTGTAAAATCACGAAAAATCATGCAAAGACACATATGACCGTCCTAGCCGACAGAATTCACTGTCTCTACTTAAAGAATCTTATTCCCCTCTGTTATCCAATATTATGGAATGATTCCTCCCAGGATAGAAAGGACGTACATTTTCCAGCGTAGCAGTACCTCAAACCCCGGATACCATCGAACGCAGCGTACCGACGAGAACCACACTTGACTCGATTTTCTCTTTGAAAAACAATGCAGAAAAATCACTTTAGATTTTGGCAGAGTTTTGATATGGGAAAAACATATGTTTCTTGAAGTAAAAACTAGAGGGGGTATGGTGATATTTATAGAAAATGAAGGGGTACGTAAGAAGGGAGGCAACTCTTCGTATGAGTGGTTACACCCCAACCATTGCAATGGTTCGTTTAAAATATTTCAACCATTGCATCGGTTCGGCCTCATGGAATTAAGTTGGACCGGTTTCGTTATTCCAACCGCCACATGATTTGGTTCGATTTGATTCAACTTGGTTCGGTTTGATCTGGTTGGTTACACAACCCAATTTAATCTATTACCCACATATATTACATCAAATCGATCAAATTCGAGGCCGTGCCTTCCCTTATCTTATCAACATGATACTTCAAAAGATTCTGTTGGATCTTTCCCCTTTCATTTTCATTCACACGATTAAAAAAGTTCCAACAGTGAATAGCTAACCAAACACCAATTAATTCAACTACACAGTTGTTGAATCTCTTCCAAAGTACGGCCCCTCGTTTCAGGAACCAGCTTCCAAGTGAAGAAAACGGCTACCAAGCTCATGGCTGCAAAGAAGAAAAAAGTGGAGGCAGGGTTCCATTCCAGCGCGAAGTTGAAGGTGTAAGTGATCAGCCATGAAACCGACCAATTCGTTAAAGTCACTATGCTTCCACCTGAAGCTTTCACGTCTATGGGAAGTATCTACATTACCAAAACAGATCGATTAAAGACCCCATGTTAATTAATTAGCATAGTAATTGAGCTAGATTATCCGTCAAAACGACACATTGGTTAGTGACTTCGTTCGATTAGGTCAAAAGACAATCTAACTTCACTTTTGAGAAGAAGAAAAAGGGGGGTTTTATTAAAAAAAAAAAAACAATATTTCAATAATAAGAAGTAGCCGTGTGTGTTTGTTTACCTCCGACATGAGCACCCATGGGATTCCGCCCATTCCGATGCCAAAAGCCGCCACATAACCCTGCCATTCAAAATAACCGACGCCGTTTACTCAATAAAAACAAGTTTAGATATGTCTTCTTATGATATTTTGTCAAATTGAGTTGCCAACACAACAAATTTAATATATATAAACATGAAGTAATATTATTCCTTCCAGTACTTTTCTATTTTCGTTTTACTATCAACATTGATACTAAATCCAGACCTTAAGAAGTAATTGAATGAGTTTCTATTTCTAATTGTCTAGCTCTCATATGATTTCTCGGAATTAACAACTGAACATGATTTCATTTTTTCTATTTTCCTGTGGTCGTGATTGTACTTTTGTTGTCACAACTCAACTGCAAACCACAACAACAACAACAAAACTTTATCATATGTGAATTTGAATCTCTCTTATTTTCGTAACTATAGAGTTAGCTTTTTAATTTGTTCCTACATATTTATATTTTCCTATTTCTTGATGAACCATTTTTATATAGAAAAACTAAAACTACGCTAAACTTTGTCATACGCACAAGAGGAGCGAGTTCAACTTACCGAGATGCCCAAAAACACTAGTAGGGGAGTGAGGTCATCCAGATATTGCAATTCCTACCAATTTAATTTAAAGAAGAAGAAAAAAAATGAAAAGCAGTTAATTAAACCCAAAAGTGAGGAAAAAATGAAAAGCAGTTAATTAAATCCAATTTAATTCATACCTTCAAATGAAATGAAACAGCCACAAGCAACAAACTCAAGCATGCCCCAGCAGACGACACCTGCACGCCATTATTTCATCAGCAAACGAATTAATTAAGTTTATTTATCGGTAAAACCCAAAAGAAATAATATAAAAAGAATATATCTGGGCGGGCGGCTGCCAATTTCTGACCATGAGGAGAGTCCGTCGCCCAAATGCATCCATTAAAAGCACTGCTATTAGCGTCACAGGAATCTAATTAACCCAACATTCCATCAGGTTCCAAAATTACGTGTTAATCAATAATGATGGGCTTAATTAATTAAATATTAGATAGATGATGATGAAATGAGAACCTACTTGCATAATCGACAGTGATGTGCTTCCAATAGTAGTCGAGAAACCTGCAGACCCCAAATGAAAATAAATAAATAAAAACAAACAAAAAATTATAAGAAATGGGTTATGATCCCTCTATTAATTTCTACAAATAATTTTCCCCCGATAATTAGACGTCGTTTTATAGCTCCAATTGATCAAATTGATCATGTCTCAGAAAACAATACAAGTGTCGAATATATCAAAACAGACTAGTTGATTACCCAACCACAAACTACAACATTCGATCTCTCCCAACAACTAAAAAAAACTCATGAGCTGCAAAATCATTGTCAAAACTTATATTTTCTATGCTAAACAAGTGTATCTCATCTTTATAACTCCAATATGCTCTTAGGAAGCACATCAAATTGATCATCTTTATAACACTTATATTTTGCTACGGCTGGGGGGAGCCAAATACTCTCAGCCTCGTTAACTTCTACAAATAATTTGAGTAATTAGGATTAGTTAGTTTATGACATCATTTTATACCTTATTTTGATATGAGGTTAGATGTTTAACTCCTCACAATATTCTAAATTTTTTTTTATGAAGGTGAAGATTAAATTTAAGAAAAAGTCCGAAGTACAAAGTAGGAAAAAACTTGAAACAACAATCGAGCAAACGATACAGAAATCAAGAGCCAGAAGGCAGCAAGAACAATAATAAAGTTGCTTGTACCACAACACAATATTAAACTTGACTTTGAGCCACAAACAATCATTAAAAAGATAATCTGTATATAGATATAGTTGGATGATTGTTTTTTCAGAAAATTATGAATTGATTACCGGCTTTAGTAAAGACGGTGCTAGTGTAGAACGCCAGCGCACTGATCCCTCCGAGTTGTTGTAATAACATGAGCCCCACCACAACCTAATTAATTAATAAATAAATAAAAAGGAGGTAAAATTCATGGCCTGTGATTTGTAAATTAATTTTAATTACTTTATCATTGGATAATTCATGCTTAAAAGAAACTGAGATCCTTGGAATACTTACAATCATGGGGTATGCATTTTTCTTCTGGAATAGTTTCAAAGGGTTGGCATCCTTGCCAGGTTGAAATGCCTCGCTTATCTCCTATAAATATTCATTAACAATTTTTTTTTTACATAAGTTAATTGTGATTTGGATTTTTTTAATGAGATTTACAATCGTGAATCAATTACCAATTATGTTGTTTCAAGTGATGTCTCTATGACACAAATCTAAAAATCAAAATGTACCATAAACGCGCCCTTAATAAATAAATAAATATAGTAATAACTCTTACTCGTATATCATCGGCTTCTTGAAAAATATCAGCAATGTCCTTCTTTCCTCTTAACCTCTGCAAGGCACCCTGAACTTCTTTTTCTCGCCCAACTTTCGCCTGTTAAATTATTCCAATTCAAGAAAAAACATGATATCTTATACATCTTAATCAAACATATTCAAACCGATCGTGTGGTTTCGGTCAATATGAGTTGGACCATAAAAATTTCGTACCATCGTATAATTAATGATGATGGTTTAACAATGCGAGTTGGAGTTAACCTCTGAGTTACTTAATTAAGCCATGGCCATGGGGTTTGGTAAGAGACTATATTAATTAATTCACTAGCGGCGTATTTAAAGTGTCACATCTCATTTGACGGAGATATAACTGCTTATAAGCTGACGAGTTGATAAAAAAATTGACTACGCACCAGCCATCTCGGGGACTCTGGAATGAAGAACAAGCCAACAAGTTGTACAACGCACGGAAAAACCGCTGAAAGCAATTTAATTAACGGCTGTCATGGAATTGGATAATTAATTAAGCACCTAAACTCATGATTGTGATTAATGTTGGGGGGAATTACCAATTAGTGACAATGTGCGCCAGGAGATGATGTTCCCCATGAAGAATGCTACCGCAAACCCATAATTTGTCATCAACTAATTAATTGCCCATCCACCAAACAATGTAATTAGAATTTTAGGACGGAAGTATCATTGTGAATTCTCAAGATAATTATCAGCACAAATTTATATATATAGCAGATATTTTGTATTAATTACCAAATTAATAGAGGTGAACCGTCCTCGAATTTGTTTAGGAGCAATCTCTGCTATGTATACAGGCACCTACAGATCAAAGTGAAAGAACGAAAAAGTGAGCAATCATATAATAATTAATATACGAGGTTTAATTTACATGATCCAACAAATTATTATGTTTCTAAATGATATGTAATTAACTGTAGAGAATTACCACAAAACTAGAGACGCCAACTGCAAATCCAATCAACATTCTTCCAATCTCCAGCCACAAGGCATCCTTAATTTCCCCAAATCAAACAAAAAGTCAAATCAATATATATGATATGGTTGGTGAAATGAAACCTACATACATACATAATTAATTAATTAATTAACCCAATAAACAATTCACATTAAACTACTAATTAATTAATCAACAATAACGAAAAATGTGAGAAACAATGACTATGTAGGCTGAATGTCCAACAGAAACACAAACCTTGGCGAAGGTTATTGCAAGCCATCCTGGAATACACGCTACCGCCGATAACATCATTGCCTGATCAGGGAATTCAAAAAACATTATACTAATTCTTTTTTTAATACAAAATTTTCTATCAATTATTGTTGTAAAATATGATATAATAATACTGTGGAAATGAATGATGGTACGTAGACTTATACGTACACGCCGCCGACCGAACATATCAGTTATCTTGCCACTGAAGATTGCACCAATCATTCCCCCGATCGTCATAATTGATCCAAAAATTGAATACTGCCAGACCCACAATTATTGTTCAAATTAATTTGTGATTTGTCTGAATTTAACGAATAAGAAACTCGTAATCGACGGAAAAAGTTACGATTTTGCAACTATATAACACGGTTGCTAAAGTGAACAAACGGTTCCTAAAATATTTGTAATCAACTTCTTAATTATATGTGTCACAGTTTTGCTCGTCGAAAGCTCTTTTTTGTTAGCGTGAAAAGGAAGAAAATTACCTGTGCAAGGGACAGACCCATTTCCGCCATGATTCCGGATTGAGCTGGAGATGAATAACCCATCTGTTAATTATCCAACAAAACACACCAAATTTCATAACATATCAGCGGCCACTGTATATAGGAAAACAGTCTATTATTTGTTGAGGTGATAATAAATTAAGTTTATTTTATTCAAATCTAATTGGAATTGAGGATTCATGGATTATATTGGGTCCATGATATTGTTAATAAATCCAAGTTCAATTATAATTGGCGTGTCATACTATGGAATCATAAAATATTTATATAGTGTATTAAAGTTGACTTGCATAATAACTCTAAAGCACGCGTATAAATAAACTAATATAACTTCTAGCACTTTAATTTACTCAACAATCATCACGCTACAAATACTTAAAACATATATTGCCTTGCAGAATTAATTAGTGGTGTTGAATGTTGGGGTGGAAAATGAATCTTCAATATACGTGACAATATAGGAGACGTCATTAACATTTGTTAAAGCAGGTTTGAACTCCACTAACCACCAGGTAACAAATACACATGGGTCAAATTTTATAATTGGGATTAAAATTGATAAACTAACATAATTTATAGGTAAACAATGTTGTGAAGATGCATGTGAACCCTATCGAACTTTACTGTGAGCTACAATAATCAAATCATGTGTGATATTATGATTTCAACCGTGAGATACATGTGATAAAATCTTTTGAAGTAAAATATTGGTTTCACAATAAAATCGTATGCGAAGATATATAAAGGTAATTAAGCATGCAAGGAGTTAGTACTGAAACTGGCTATTCCCATTGTGGATGAATGAAAATATAGAACTTGTCACCAAAGTATTCGATTACCATTGAGTGAAGGTGGGTATATAACTTGTCACCCAAGTATCCGATTACCATTAATTAATAAGTACGATTAGCATATTTAGAGAAAATTTTTAGGTTAGTTGACATTTGTACTTAGCTTGTGGTGATATGGTTTACTATTTCTTTTGGGTCAAAGCCACTATTGTCTTGTTGGCGCCTTTGTATTAGCTTAGCTGCTGGTGATTTAATTAAATGTTATTGTTACTGTTTCTGAATTAGCTTATGTATATTATTATGGTTGTGTGGTGAGGGTGACCATATCCATTTCCAGGCGTATTTAAATTGTAAGGAACAATTTGCTTAGACAAGAAAATGACAATGATTAGCCGCAATAATAACAAGGAATTTTCCTAAGTAATTGAAAATTTGGGATGTGCAATAATATTCGGACCAACCATAGCTAACAGACGGTCGTTAATTAAGGGCCAACGAATGTTGACGATTTGATCTACCTAACTAACCTTTCTTTTGGCAATGAACTACTCCGGCAAACAATAGACCTGCTGACAGTAACGAAGACAGAAATCTAAATGAAGAGAGATGGCCTGTGAATGTTATGCATTCGACCACAAGATTAATATTGGATTAGGATAAATTTCAAAATTATTAAATATAAATTTTCAAATATATGTTAGGAAACAACCTTGTATAGATTCATTGAAGTATATTGATTTTCAACACTCGTTTGTGTTAAATATAATGATGAGTCGCGATAAAAGGTTCAACAACATGTCAACCTAACACTAACAGACAGAGCATGAACATAGATCAAGCTATACGTGCAATCACACGATGAAATAGAAATAGAAATTAAGAAGATAATTAGATTGAGTTGAGAGTAATTAAGCTGTTATATATATAATAATATCACTTACAGCATAGCCGTAGCAGAAGGAGCCACATCCAGCAATGAAGGTGCTAAGTACGAGGACTGGGGTAATGAATGATGGCATGTCACCGGCGGCAGAATCCCGATGAGGGTCTTCCTCGTCGACGGCAACAAGCAAAGGACTCGTCTTCGCTCGCATCCCATCGTCAAAACCCATTTGCACCATATTCCGGCAAAAAAAAGGAAGAAAACGAAAGAGCCGGGGAATAAGAGGAGAATCATGTTTTGCAGGTGTAATTAAATCTAAGTTTTTTGTGGGATTAATGGTTTACATATATAGAGGGAGGCAGAATAATATGTCACCTGAAAGGAGTCAGAATATAAAACGCTGTTTGTGTTAGAATTAACGGAAGGTGATGCTGCAAGTTGGAAAGTGAAAATAAGTATTCCCAGCTTACGTATATAGATGTGTTGAGTAAGAAGATCTGTTGAACCTAATTTTACTCTTTTATCAAATTTCCTGTCTTCAAAAATTCTTCTTTTTGGCCTGGTATTCTTGTCTAAGTTAGGTATCCACGTTTTGGACACCAGAAAGGTTGAATTTTGTGCATGGTTTTGAAGACTTTTGGCTATAACGTAACGTATGCCTTGAAATCCTTCACTACAAGGAATTTTCATTATTCACGGGAAAAAAATTTCATACTAAAAGCTATATTAATAGTCATGAAAAAAGTCACGTAAATTAGTAATATATTTCTAGTTGGAGAATAATTTGTTCCCTACTTTTAGTTTTTAGGGCTAATTCCACTAGGAAGTTCAAACTATCTTAAAAGTGTCATTTGTGTATTAAACTATTTAATATGACAAATCTGGCACAAACTGTATGCGTTTCGTGACATTTGTATTCTAAACTATTCAATATGACAAATATGGCACAAACCACATAGATGTTGACTAGAATTTCTGTTAAATACTAACTGTCAACGTCGGTCCACATTAACAAAAAAAATAGTGCGTGTCGAATTTGCAATATTGAATAGTTTAGAACACAAATGTCACTTTTTGAATAGTTTGTACTTTCTAGTGAAATTAGCCCTAATTTTTATTTCTGGTGATTAATACTTCGTGACAGTTAATTCCAGTGAACAATCTAAATTTGATGAAAATTTCTCACAAAATTTAGGAGAAAGAATTTCCTTTTAACTTCAATATTTTCCTCCAAAACTTTTCACCAGAATCTACTTTCCTTCCCAAAACACTCGACCAATGAAAATACCCCAACCTCTTTTGGCCCCAGCATTTCTAGTTCTAGAGAAAAACCCGGTCACAATCTCGCCAAATGAAAAAAAATCCAATTATTGATGTTCCCTGCTTCTCTCATTATGTTTTCACCAGCTCTCTGCTCTCCTCTCCGATTCCTTACTTTTCTCATCGCGATCTTCTCTGATGACTACTCAATTTGGTTGCCGTCCGCTCTGTCATCGTCTGATTTTCCTTTGACTCAAGCACTTGACGATTTATAGGATTCCAATGCTAGCGACGGCCAATTATTTTTTCCTAACTTTAGGTCTTACACTCAGTTTGACAACGAGAGGGGTGCAAATTATGGTATAAAATATAGAGGAGAGTAAATTCAAGGGGGTGTAAATTGGGATTTGGAAAAAAATGTAAGAGGTGCATATTTTATATATTAACTATTTTTACTGAAAAAAATAACACATGATCCCACCTTCACTTCCATTTAGAGGTGGCAATTATGATCCAAATCCATGAATCCAATCCAATCCATCCACCAAATTATCCACCTAATCCAATCCATTTAAATCCAATCCATTTGATCCAAATCCAATTGGATTGGTGGATTCATGGATCAATCCATGGATCCAAATGGCAAATTACAATTTGGTACCTATATTTTTTATATTTTACATTTTGGTACCTAAAATTTATATTTTTATACGAAAAATATCATTGGAAAATTACATTTTGGTACCTAAAATTTTTCATTATGACATTTTAGTACCTAAACTTTTCAAAATTTACATTTTGGTCCAAGCCTTGGATGTCATTTTGGATTCATGGATCAATCCACCAATCCATTTGATCCAATCCATGAATCCACCAATCCATTGGATCCAATCCATTTGATCCATGGATCCACCAATCCAATCCGCGAATCCACGAATCCGATCCAATTGCCACCTCTACTTCCATTCCTTCTGCTATGGCGACCTCACCTTTATTCCCCTTTCTTTCTGACTCGGCCCCACTCCCCACTCCCCTCCCCACTTCCTTTATTTTTTTTTTCTCTTTCCTTCCTGTTGGATCTCACCACCGCCTCACTTTTTCCTTCTCTTTTCCTTGCACCCCAATTTCGAGGGCTTTTGGAAATAGTGAGAATGCACATACTTTATTAACCCTCACTCATGTTCAAAACCATCCAAACGGGATATGTTTCTCGAGATTCTAATTTGCTTCTCAAATTTACTTCCCCTACACTTACCCTAGCTTTGCAAACATAGTGTTAGATACCACCTCCAGTCTCCACTAGACACTACAAAAATCCACTCAACATTTATGCAAAGATTTGCGTAAAAAATAAGGGTCCTTTAAATGTATTTTTTTAACAAAACATGATCGTCCGGCGTCGTCGGAAGATCTTTCCTTAGTAATACTAGTTATTCTGAGGCACCGTATGAAATTACAAATTATTGATGACAGACTGTGGTCAATTAATATAATGGTATGGTCAGAAAAAATGTACTTGACGAACAATATGACAAACTTTTTTATTGACAAATTCTGAAATCTATTTCATAACTCAAATGTTTTGGTGACGCAGCCACGATCACGTCCGTCTTGGGTGTGGACTAGTATACTTAATGGAAGAGGCCTGTTGCTAATTGGAGTTAGATGGCAGATCGCCGATGGGACAACACTGAATATCTTGGGTGATTCTTGGATTCCAGGCTATCGGCCGGAGGTGTAGCTGCTGCCGTATGCGCCGAATTTGGGGGGAGTACTGGTGGAGGATTTGCTAATCACTGGGACTGGGAAATGGTGTGTAGACTGCCTCACACAATGTTTTCCTCCCAAGGTTGTTGGAGCGATTCAATCCATTCCTCTTCCGCTGTTATAGATCCCGAATCGCTTAGTATGGGAAAGAGAGAAGTTGGGTTATGCTGTTAAATCGGGTTATCATTTGGCTGTTCAAGTTAGTCGACGTAAACCAGGGTGGAAAGAGGAGGTTTCTTTCTTCGACATGGCCAATTGGAAGCAGGTTTGGGGGTATGATATACCTCCAAAACTTAAATTGTTTATGTGGCAGGTTATGCGGAAACATTCCGACTACGGAGGCGATTCAAGAGAAGGGGGAGATTGCCTTGCGTGATGTCCTGTCTACTGGGTTGAACTGGAAACCTTGCAACATTTGTTCCTACATTTGATAATAAATAAACCATGAGGACAATGAAATGACTCAAAACATACCTAAATATGGGCTCTATATAGCATCATTTTTTGTGTTAACAATATTTTGATTTTATAAACCAAAACCAAGTCAAGAAAAGTAGTCGTCAATGTAAGAAGAACACAACACCCATATTAATTACCATATTATCATATTCAATAATGAAAATTTTGTCGGTATCCACAACCAAACCACACTGGGTAGTGGTTACTTACTACCCACTGCGGTTCGTGTTGTGGGTAGCATAGTTCTAAATATGTGGGCAATTTCTAATGATACACGACATACCCCACAAATCAATTATATTAGCCATCCATAGGCTTAGCTCCAAGAAACATCGTTGACGAGTAAATCTAGTGAATCCCAAGTGATTCAAAGCTTCACCATTGACCAAGGATCGATATAACAATATAACTTATAATTATATACAAAAGATCTGGCTAGTTTCGCTAATCGAGCCGCATCATTGATTTATGTATGTCCTCTAGAGTCCTTCCTTTTGTTTCTGGTACCAGCTTCAATGTGAAAACCACTGTGAGTGCGCATGTTGTAGCTAGGATAAAAAAAGTCGCTGTTCAAAAGAGCAGGAAACTCATTAGATTACATACGCAACTGATCAGTAACTCGAAGTAATCAACAAACTATTCAAAAACTTTACGATCGAAATTATATAATACCCGCGGGGCTCCATTGCATCATGAAATTGAAAGAGTAAGTCATGACCCAAGAGGATGACCAATTGACTAATGTGACTAGTGTCCCAGCTATAGCCTTCACATTCATGGGGAATATCTGTTTCTCACAAAAGGCAAGAAATTGGAGCATTTGTTGGGAAATTATTTAAGTTTTTAGGGAGCGATTGGTAAAAATGGATCTCACCTCAGCCATTATGATCCAGGGGATTCCTGCCATTCCAATTGAGAAAGCTGTGAAGTATCCCTACAAAAACAAGTTTGCATAATCCCTTTCCCAAATAAGGTAGCTGAACCAAAACAGTGCATGTGGCTATTAATCCAATCATCCATCTGCAGCAGAAAATTTTCACTCACAGTCAAGCCAATTATAGCCATAACAGGAGTGATTCCCCTGAGAAGGTTAAGCCCCTGTGATGATCAAAAGGAGATGATTCGTATGAGTTGGTCTTTTTCTAATAACTCTTGTTTCTAAGTCATTATTACACCAGTTCCTTTTGGGGACATCCGATAAAATTGGAATGACAGCGAAAACCCATTTTTCATTGCTTTGGAACGACGAACATGGTTGCAAAAATCTCCTTTCCTAGAAGTGTGCAAGGATTCCAAAAAGTATGATCAGATTTCTTTACCTGCAATACGAAGGACAATGCCACTAGGAAGCTGCATATGCTCATCCCACCTGCAGAAACCTGTACGGCACCATTTAAGCTTAGCTACTGTTAATTATATGACCGAATATAATAATATGCAATCTATTTGGAAGCTCCATTAATTTCAAGGTTTCCTACTGATAATTAAAATTACCATGAGGAGAAGTCTTCTTCCACAAATATCCATCAGGAATAACCCAACAGCTGCTATAGGAACCTGCAAGCGGAAATGGCATCTCGATTCAGTAAAAACAACCATACTTGTTTGAGACCATTCCTTTGTTCTTATTATAGAACCCAACCCTGTTAATTAATAACTAAAAAATTAAATACCTGGACTAGAGAAATAATTATGGTGCCAACAGTTGTCGAAAACCCTGTTTCCATAACCAGGAAAAAAAAATATTAATGATTGGAATTAAATTTTTAACTGTTAACAAGCGCGAGCAATTATATATATTACTCATATCTGATTTTACCTGCTTTTTGGATTACACTGCTGCCATAATATGCAACTCCTGAAGTGCCCCCAAGTTGTTGGAGAAGCATTAGACCAAGTCCAACCTAGAAATACAATCCAATGAAAATGGTTGGGAAATTGATCAAATGTAATACTAATAATAATACACACATGTATATAGCTGCGAAAGTGGGGCGCTTTATTACTGTTAGTGCATAGGCATATTTCCTCTGTAAAATGTCTCCAACTCTGGCTTTTGGGTCGTCCTTCAGTTCATCAACAGAGTGCTGCAGAGTCATAAATGGAATTCGGCGAATCATCGACAGAGTCCTGTTTGTGGTTGTAATTGGAGTCGAGATGGGAGAATTAGCAATATTGTGTACGTAGTTACTTGAATTTCGTCTACTTCTTGAGAGATATCAGCATTCTTGCTTCTCAGTTGCTGTAACGACGCTTTGAACTCCTTCACTCGCCCAACTCCAGCCTACAAAAACAACGAAACGACCCGAAAATGATTCACTTACTAGAATTGAAGGAGAACAAAAGAAAATCATGTAGTAGCATAAACTCTCACCAGCCATCTCGGGGACTCGGGAATGAAGGGCAAGCCGACGAGTTGGAACGCCCCTGGCACAAGTGCTACGTACGAAGAACAACCAACATTAATTAAGGTGTTTACTTATTAAAAATGGAGATGGAAATAGCTAGGGAGCAAGGTTGTCAACCCGCGGGTCGACCCACGGGTTGACCCACTTTGACCCTGACCCGGTGAGAAAAACGGGTCGCACGCACCCGACGGGTTGACCGCTACAAGGTACCAGGTTGGAGGTCAAATTGTGTCATTTTTCTTTGATTTGCGAAATGCGCCTATTTTTCGATTTTTCTTTTTGCCTAACTCAATCTTTGGAATCCTAAGTTGAACATTTGAATATTAATGTTATATAAGTGTGTGTGAATTTTCATTATATGTTGAATCTAAGTACGACATGTTATTTTGGTGTAACATTATATGTTATAACTCATATGTTAGATGAGATTTGACATAATTTATCAGGATAAGTACAATATAATGACGTTTTCCATATTTCCGAGCTAACCGGGCTAAAATGGGTGACCCATTAACCCTTGACCCACTAACTCAACCGGGTCTGGGTCAACCCGCGGATTGACAACATTGCTAGGGAGGCAATTAATTAACAAGGGAACTACGTACCGAGGATTGCCAAGGTACGCCAGGAGACTACATTGCCCAGGAAATACACAAGGGAGAAGCCGCAGTTCACCAGCAACTGCATCATCAATTCATCATCACATTATTCATTACATGAAACTACTGTTTTTGGTTTGTGAATCGAAATTGTGGGGAATATAATAATGAAACCTGGCTGGCATATGAAAATGATCCTCTGTGCTCTTTGGGTGCAATTTCTGCTACATAAATTGGAACCTGCGTGCATGTACGTACGTACGTACTCTATGCTATTATGTGTAGGCAAAAGGAATCGAACAATATCTATTAATTAAGGGAGTGTATGTAATTAATTAATTACCACGTAGGTGACGAACCCAACTCCAAACCCAATCGAGAGCCTTCCCGTCACCAGCCACCAATCATTCTTTTTCGTTCAGAAAAATTACAAAACACACCATATAATTTAATTATATTATCTCGTCGACAATTAACAACAAGCAGAGAAAGCTGGATTAGAGAGGATGTAAAATAAAATGGTGCATTGAGTACTCAGATCACCTTAGCAAGTGCTATAGCAAGCCATCCAATGGTGGAGAACACCTGGGAAAGCCACATTGTCTGCAATATTCCAACAACAATTATTATTATTATTATCATCATCGTCAAATTAATTGCTGTTGCGAGTCATTAACGGTTGTCCTTAAATGTCACTAGTTAGTTGTTAGTGGTGGTAAATTGTACTTTACCATGTGAAGAAGCCTAACCCTAGTTCATTAGTTGTTCGGGTTATGGCAGCTATATATATAGCTTGTTCAAGCTACTGTTCACGTTGTTGTTGTTGGTTGAGTTGTGAAGTTCATAATAAAAGTTCAGCCGAGAAGCTCTTGAGGAGCTTCTCCGTGGATTAGTCTCGTTCACACCGAACAAGGATACCACGTTAATCGATCGTGTTAATTTCGCTTCCGCATTGCTGTTATTTTACATGGTATCAGAGCCATCACGATCATAATCGCTCTTAGTTCCCGATGAGTGACGACGAGACGAAGGGCAGCGAGCTGGGCAAGGGTTCCGCGTCTAGCAAAGATCCTGTCGCCCTTGGCGGTGATGCTTCCAAGTTGGAAACGGATCTTACCTCGCCGTACTTCATCAGTCAATCTGATAATCCTAATCAAGTCTATGTTGGTGAGTTATTGAATGAAGTCAATTATACAGATTGGGTTCATGACATGACTAATGCGTTACTAGCTAAGAATAAGCTAGGGTTTGTCGACGGTTCTCTGGTGATGCCTCAGGATCCGCTTACCTTGCGGAGTTGGCGTCGTGTCGATGTCATGGTCAAGGGTTGGTTGACCTCGGCCATGGACAAACAAGTTCGTCGCGGAGCACGGTATGCGCAGACTGCCCGCGAGGTGTGGATTGATCTGAAGGAGCGTTTTGCGCAGAGTAGTGCGCCGCGGGTTTACGATTTACGCCGCCGTATTTGTCATCTTCCTCAAGAAAAATTGTCGGTTTCTGAATTTTATACTCAACTTCGCAGCTATTGGGAAGAGGTTTTATCTATGGCACCACTCCATCCTTGTACCTGTGGTCACTGTATTTGTGGGGCGGAACGGAAGAATCAAGTTCGTGAAGAAACTTTTCGATTGTATGACTTTCTGATGGGTCTCGATGAGACTTTTTCTACTGTCAAAACTCAGGTTCTCTCTATGAAGACGTTACCCACGTTGTCAGAGGCATATCAACTCGTCTCCAATGATGCTCATCAGCGCCGTCTTGCGGCCCAAAACCGTCCCACTTCTGAGGCCGCTGCATTTTTGGTTCGTGATGATGTGACCTCGGGTGATTCGTCTTCCGCGGGTCGTGGACGCCACAAGTGTACTCACTGTGGCAAAATTGGTCATCTCAAAGAGAGATGTTTTGACCTTATTGGTTGGCCTGACCGTCCACCACCTACCAAACCCGATGGTGCTGGTCGACAGAAAGGGTCAGATCGGCCAAAATCCACTCCCAAGGCAGCTACTGTTGAAGTTGGTGAAAGCCCTGTTGCTGGTTTGAGCATGTCGCAGCTGGCGCAGCTCAAGGATTTCTTGGCTGGTTCATCTTTCTCGCCTGAAGCATCCGCAACCAAACTCACTGGTATTTCTTCTCGCTCTACTACATGGGTTTTGGATTCCGGATGTAATGAACATATAGTTCATGATATTGGTCTTCTCTCTAATGGTTTTAAGGCGAGTGATTTGCGTGTTGGGATTCCCAATGGAGTCTCGGTCAATGTTGATCAGGTTGGGTCGGTTTGCTTGAGTAACGGCATGGTCTTACCTCGTGTGTTGCTGGTTCCTGAGTTCAAGTGCAACCATTTATCCGTCAGTCGCCTCACAAAAGAATTTCCCATTGCACTTATCTTCCTTCATGACTTCTGCATTCTGCAGGACTTGCGTTGCAAGAAGATGATTGGGATGGGCCATCAACGTGATGGCTTGTATTATCTCCGCTTGTTTGATAAGTTCGAGAGGCCGCTGCTCATGCTACAACCCGTGGTGCCTCTACGTCACTGAACTTGTGGCATGCTCGGCTGGGTCATCCGTCGTTGGAGAAATTGTCTTTGCTACCTTTTGTTTCGAGTTCTGAACAGTCTACTTTGGACCATTTCTCATCTTGTTTACGAGCTAAACAGACACGTAGTCCTTTCCCGTCCAGTTCGATTAAGACTACTCGTCCATTTCAGTTGATTCATGTTGACATTTGGGGTGGTTATAAGGACCCGTCTTTGAGTGGTGCTCACTATTTTCTTACTCTGGTTGATGACTTCTCTCGTGCTATGTGGGTATTCCTCCTCCGTTACAAGTCAGAAGTTGCTAGTTATTTGATGATGTTCTGTGAACAGGTTAAACGTCAACACCAGTCTTCTGTTGTCCGCATTCAGGCCGATAACGGCATGGAATTCCAAACCAATGTTCTTAAGCAGTACTACGCGCAGGAGGGGATCATGTTACAAACCTCGTGTACTGATACGCCACAACAAAATGGCGTTGTTGAACGTAAACATCGGCACTTGCTGGAGATGGCCCGTTCCCTTCGTTTCCATGCACATCTGCCGATCAAATTCTGGGGAGAGTGTGTTCTTACTGCTGCCTATTTGATCAATCGCCTTCCCTCTACGGTGACTGCGAATGATACTCCTTTCGAAAGACTCTTTGGTACGAAACCTTCGTATGCACATCTCCGAACGTTTGGTTGCTTGGTTTATGCCAAGGACACGCATTCTTCCCTAGACAAGTTTGCAGAAAGGGGGAGACAATGTGTTTTCTTAGGATATCCTGCTGCCCAGAAAGGATATCGTGTATTTGATCTTGCCACCCAGTCCTTGTTCACGTCTCGCGACGTTGTGTTTCGTGAGGATCATTTTCCTTTCCAGTTTTCGGCATCTCCTCGTCCGGGTCCCATGCCAACGGTTCCCTTAGATGATAGTCATCCCAGTCTCATCTCTGGTGATCATTCGCATGGTCATGATGACGATGAAGTGGCCCTGTTTCCTGACAACGAGTCGAGTGATGCGGATTTGACTCCTGGACCTTCCTCTCCTGCTCCCACAGGCGAGACCAGCCCTTCCAGCTCTTCTTCTCATCATTCCGACTCTGGCGCCAGCCCGTCCTCGGTCACCCCCACGTCATCGCCGGAGTCCTCACCATCTCCGGTTGTCGAGCTTCGTCGTGGAGATCGCCATCGTCAAGCTCCTCGTCACCTCGACATTTATGAGGTCACGTTGCCTTCATCCCACTCTTGTGTTAAGTATCCCTTGCATGATGTGCTTACCTATGATCGTTTGTCCCCAGGATACAAAGCTTTCGTTGCCGCTATCTCCCGTGTGGTTGAACCTGGTACCTTTTCTGAAGCTGTGTTACACGCATGTTGGCGTGAGGCGATGGAGCGGGAGTATGCTGCTTTAGTCGCCAATGGTACATGGGAAATGGCGTTTTTACCACCTGGCAAGAAACTCGTAGGATGCAAGTGGGTGTTCAAAATTAAATATCGTCCCGATGGCAGCATCGAAAGGTTTAAGGCACGTCTTGTTGCCAAAGGTTACACGCAAAAGGAAGGGATCGATTTCCACGATACTTTTGCACCTGTTGCGAAGTTGGTTACAGTGCGTTGTGTGCTTGCTCTTGCCGCACAACGTGGTTGGTTTCTTCAGTAGTTAGACGTTAATAACGCCTTCCTCCATGGCGATCTTGACGAAGAAGTTTACATGCGTGTTCCCGATGGATTTGCTCGACCGGGGGACACACGAGTATGTCGTCTTCGCAAATCTCTATATGGGTTGCGGCAGGCGTCACGAAATTGGTATAAAAAGTTTACCATGGCTCTTCTCTCATTTGGTTTTAGTTGCTCTCGGGCTGATCACTCGTTGTTCTTGTATCGGAAGAACGGGGTGTTCGTTTTTGCTCTCATCTATGTCGATGATATCGTCCTAGGGGGAGACAGTTGGGAAGTTATTGAGGGAGTCAAGGCGTTTCTGATGAAAGAATTCAGTATCAAAGATTTGGGACCACTGAAGTACTTTCTGGGCATTGAAGTTGCTAGATCACGACGTGGAATTTCATTGTCTCAGAGAAAGTACACGTTGGATATTCTTGACGATGCAGGTGCACTCGCAGTCAAACCTTGTTCATTTCCTGTTGAACAAAACCACCACCTCACCCGGGTGGAAGGGCCAGCAGCGAGTGATCCGTCAGCGTATAGGAGGTTAGTTGGACGCTTACTGTATCTCACAGTCACTCGTCCAGATATCACATACGCAGTTAATATATTAAGTCAAGCAGTGCACTCTCCTAGGCAACAACACGTAGAGGCCGCGTATCGAGTACTTCGTTATTTGAAGCGCTCTCCCGGTCGTGGGTTGTTCTTTCCGGCGGATGGTGATCAGAACTTGACCGCTTACTGTGACGCAGATTGGGGGGGTTGCCAGGAAACGAGGCGTTCGACTTCTGGATATTTCATTCAGCTCGGACAAAGTCCCGTATCATGGCGTACTAAAAAGCAGTCGGTGGTTGCTCGGTCTTCAGCTGAGGCCGAATACAGATCGATGGCGGTCACGGTAAGTGAATTGATATGGTTGCGTTGGTTGTTGCAGGAGTTAGGCGTGCGTCAGGATGGACCTACTAAGTTGTACTGTGATAATCAAGCAGCATTACACATTGCAGCGAATCCGGTTTTCCATGAACGCACAAAACATGTTGAGATGGACTGTCATTTCGTGCGAGAGCGCGTGGCGTCGTCAGAAGTTAGTCCGCAGAAGATTGCAACTAGTGACCAAGTGGCTGATCTGTTCACGAAAGGTCTGGGCAGTGAACAGTTCACGTATCTCGCTTCCAAGCTTGGCTTGCATGACATTCACGCCTCCGCTTGAAGGGGAGTGTTGCGAGTCATTAACGGTTGTCCTTAAATGTCACTAGTTAGTTGTTAGTGGTGGTAAATTGTACTTTACCATGTGAAGAAGCCTAACCCTAGTTCATTAGTTGTTCGGGTTATGGCAGCTATATATATAGCTTGTTCATGCTACTGTTCACGTTGTTGTTGTTGGTTGAGTTGTGAAGTTCATAATAAAAGTTCAGCCGAGAAACTCTTGAGGAGCTTCTCCGTGGATTAGTCTCGTTCACACCGAACGAGGATACCACGTTAATCGATCGTGTTAATTTCGCTTCCGCATTGCTGTTATTTTACAATTGCCACTAAATCGATTGTTTCAGCTTTTTTTTTCTTTTTTTACAAAGATTGTTCCACCTTCGGCTTCCAGTCCTGCTAATGGCAATTAATGAATTTTTTTTCATAATGATTGTTCCAGCTTCCACTTCTCAAATAATTGTTGCTTCTGTTTGATTACTAGTTTGCCCGAAAGCAAGAAGAAGAAGGGTTGACAAAAGGAAATTATTATATATAATTAGCGACTTACATATTTGCGGCCAAGCACAGCTGTTATTCTCCCACAAAACAGAGCGCCTATCATCCCTCCCACTTCCATCACTGACCCAAACATTGAGTACTGCACACCCACAAATTAAACACGTACGTACACACTAATTAATTAATTAATTATTGGTTAGTTAATATATATTCAGACTAATTAATTATTTATTGATGGTATTCATAATTCAATCCTCAACCTAAGCCAGAACATGGGGCAAGGAATCATGAAAGGAGAAAACGGTGGGACAGAGTTTTACCCTACCTACTCCTATCACACATATTTCATTTTTATAAAATTAATGAGTTGCATATAATATTTGGATGGTGCGAGTGCTCTAATAAGACTGAAAATAAAGATTTCATCATGTAATTATTGATCACTTAGAATTTTGAGAAGGTGATGATGGGTGAGAGTTGGCACAACTTACAGAAGCAATGGAGAGGTGCAAATCTTCCATGATCCCAGATTCAGCAGGTGATGAGTATGACAACTATATACATACACCACCAATCAACAGAAGAAACCGAAATCCAAAAATTACCAATTTAGCAAGGAGAGTGACAGGAAAATGTAATGTTGGCCGAATCAGTTTCTGATATATGTATACTCGACCAATTGGATAATAATTTTGATTTTATTCCAAATTTTCAATAAATTCGATCGAATTATTGAGACTAACTCATATTCGACACAGTCAAAGCAAGCACTAGCCCAAAGCGAGGCATTTAACCCCAGAGATGATAGGATCTTATCCCAAGCAAGGAGCTTGTTTGGTTTCAGTCTTTCAGATTCACCTCTCAAACACATGAGGCCATTAATTAATGCATTAAAAGCGAAGCCAGCCTGGATATAGAATCTTTTCTTTTGGGTCGATCATATGATATGCCTAGTTAGTAGTTAGTGCTACAGTGACTGTGAGTTATTTCCTGCCTTTTATGACATATATATATATATGCGAGTGAGACCTTTTCTTTTCTGAATTTTTTGTACCTAAACAACCAAAAATAAACGCAAAAAAAAATTCATTGAAGTAAGTTTCAATTATGTAAAATAATATTTTAGCCACTCAAGAAAATATGCCATTCATGGACCAAATTTCAACGATAACTATAAAAATATTCAAATCGAAGGATGTAGAATTTGCATTAGTTTAGTTTAGTGGGTTACAAGATACGATATCCATGTGTAATTATTCCTATTTCCCGATCTTTGTCTCTCAATCTCTACTTTGATTTCACTGATTCGCCCTCATGTTACGGGCAGTACGTTTACCATTAATAAAATGGGCAGCCTGACAAATTACAGATTCTCCGTTGGGACTCGGAACTCACTTGGGTCCAAGCTGTTTGTTTAATTATGAAAGAGCATAGTTTCTTTGGCAACCAAATAGGTGGTTGCTAAAGGAATTCCCAGCTCGTGACTATTTCTTGCTCCCAAACAATCTTTCTTTTGTGTGCTTGGTTTTCTTAAGCCTCTGGAATGGAATATTAGTGAAACAGATAAGGAGAGGAGAGGACTTACAGCGCATCCATAGGAGAAGGAACCACACACAGCTACGAAAGTGCTGAAGATAACGGCGGCAGAGGTCGCTTCCACCGGCGGCGAAGATTTCCCGGCAGTGCTCATCATGTCCTCCTCGTTGTTATTACTATTACCTGATCCCTCTAGCAACGGCTGCACGAGAAGCCCTCTTTCCATTTTACTCTCCTCTGCCATTTTCCCCCTCTCTTCTTTTTTTCCACCCTTTCTTGCAATCAAACTTTTCAAGATGGAGACTGAGAAGTGGAATTTTTTTTAGTGTCCTGTAAATTGTGAGAGTGGTGTTGGAAGGAGCAGTGTGGCACGGTTTATATATACACAGAGAAACCTGAATAACAGCGATTTTTTTTTATTTAGTCTCTCGGCACACTCTTGACGATTATTATATGATGAAGTGCTAATTGGTCACTTATTTCAACTTCTTTCCACATCTACTACTTACAGTTTTTATCTCTGTCTTATTTTTCTTCTTCTTGCAAATTAGTCACGTGATGTCTGATCTTCTTTTTTGACCCAATACCACAAACCTGTAACCTTCTTTTCATAAACCAAGAGATCAATGACACAGACAACAAATCTCAAATTTAAACGGTGTGGTTATCATGATAATTAATTTTTTTTAATGTTTCGTGGTAACCATTTTAATCGGTAGCATTTGAATAATTTGATATGATTAATTTGGATAGTTGGTTTGATTTGGTTAAAATTTTAGTATGTTTTGTTTAGGTGGTTTGGGTTGGTTTCACACACTCCTAACCATGCAAACCAATTAACCAGTTAAGTAATTAGCCACATGTCTAAATAATAGGAATGTCAATGGATAGATCGATTGGATAATTGGACTCAATTGTCAAGATCCATACGTGTATTGGATTGGCTTGGAGCCAAATGGACTCATATGTATTCTTAATAATTTTGGATGTGGGTGTGGGTGAACCCATTTGGTTTAAACCAATAAACACCTTTTTTTTGTAAGAACCAATTAACACCTTTGAGGTTGGTATTTTCACATTTATGTTTGTTTTAGAATAAAAAAATATATATACAAAACACATTGGGTATTCATTTTATTTTGGATAACCAATGTAATGAGTTTAATTTACACCCAAATTAAATAATTTGACTCATAATCAGTTGGCTTTGGGGAATACCCAAATTGCCTGTCCATTTTACCATCCCATGTCTAATATATTATATATACATATTTAATAAATACGGTGTATAACCACTTAAAGTCAAAATTTTCTCCCTTTTGGGTCCATAAAAAATAAAGTTCATTATACATATGTTTTTGTAGGTGTATACATCGATTGTTATGTTTTATTCACTATATAAATTATGATGGATGCATTAACATGATATTTTCTCATGTAATAATAATGTTATGTTATATTGGTTAATGTGATTGTTGTATTAGTTTGATCGATTTGATTATGATATTGTATTTAATAATTAATAGAGTTTAGACCTATTTGATTTGATAATTACAATAATAACGATTTGATAAGACTCGGAATATATTTGCTCTCACTCTTTTGACCTGATTCACCGATAACATTGATATTTGTGTTTTTAATGGATTTTTAATAAAGTGAATTTACTATAACAAAAAAAATATTTGACATATTCTATTTTTTTAAGGGACACCGACATACAAGTTATGCCTCATAAATACTTAACTCAAGGCCACTATTAGTATGTGTTGGTCAGTCAAACGATACAACAACTTCAATAATAGGAATAAATAATGAGACAGATTTCAAATTCTCAATGGGTCGTTTGAATGGGGAAATATTTAAACAAGGGATTTGGGCTTAATTCCCTCTTTTAAAAAATCAAAGATTTTAAACAAGAAATTTGACCAATTATCTGTTTGTTTACAAATAAGAATTTCATTAACCAGAATTTTTTTTATTGACAAATAGAAAAATACAATTTTACCCTCTCCAACCCATTTTGCACCTAACCCCACTTATCTTCCTCCTCTGCGATGGAGACAACCACCGCCCTCACTTTCCAAATCTAGGTTCCAGAAGCTACTTCTCCCTCTTCTTCCTGAAATCCGGATCCACCCTCCCTTCTCCTCTCTGCCTCTGTAATTTTCCCCATCCAACACACAACAACACCAAATTTCCTCTCCCCAGACGCAAAAATACAAATCGCCTCCACCACTACCCACCACCATCTTCAATTCAACTCACAACCCAGATCTTTCTTCCACAAGAACAAACTGCCGCCTCCATGGCCTTCTCAATCCGCCACTTTGTTTCCCTTCCCCTCTTCATCTTCCAAATTTCCTTCCTACCCGAACAGTAATGTCTCGCCTCGAAGCCACCTCTCCGGATTTTTGCTCTGAAAACATAGCCCACAAGTGGATTCCCAATTCCAGGCTGTTCAAGACCCTCGCCAGAGGGGGAAACATCTGGGAATGAAGAGCTCCTGGAGCCAGTGGGTGATGCTGTCGAAGGTGGTGCGGCGGGTGATGTTGTCAAGAACCAGTTGATCCCAATAACTCGAGTTGTTGGGAGAGGTTCAATTCTGGATCATATACCATTCACCAACACCCCCCCCCCTTCAAAATCAAGCCACTTAGATAGGCTTGGAGTTTGGACAGTAACAGGTTCGGACACCATGTGCTTAAACAGAACAGATGGGGGTTACCAGGATTCGAACAGGAGACCTTTCGGTCACAGAAGGCTCTAATACCATGTCAAGAACCAGTTGATCCCAATAACTCGAGTTGTTGGGAGAGGTTCAATTCTGGATCATATACCATTTACTAACAGATGTTGTAGATGACGAGAGCACCGACGACGCTGTGGTAGTAGGCGGAGGTGACGATCCGGAAGCGTTCCTGGCCCCTGGTGTCCCAGATCTGGGCTTTGATTTCCTTGTCGTCGATGTCGACGAGCTGGATCTAGAAGTCGACGCAGATGGTGGCCTTGGGGTTGGCGTCGAACTCGCGGGCGAAGCGGGAGAGCAAGCTAGATTTTCCCACCGCCGAATCCCCGATGACCACTATCTTGAACAGGTACTCCTCGCCTGCTCTTCCTCCTTCTTCTTCTCCGTCAATTTTTGGGAATTGGCGCAGTGCTGGGGAATGAATGGGATTGGTCGATGGGATGGGAGGAAGGTAACGTGGGGAGGGAGAAGAAGCCGACGAGTTGTGACGGAGGGAGAGAAGGGAGGGAGCTTCTCGCAAATGATGGGAAGAATAAGAGGTAGGTATGTGAAAATGGGTTTAACGGTAAAATTGGATTAACCAAAAATGAATAAGGGCATGCTGGACAGAAATGAAAAAATTGGGGCCAAATTTTAAAATACTTGGGGGTGTCAGCTATTTCTAATTTCGGGCTGGGTCGGATTTTAAATCTCTAACTGACCCAAATCTCGCCCTTTTTTAGCTATCTAAACAGGAGAATGGTGGTTTAAATTCATGGATTGGCCAGGATTGTAGCCAAATTCCTGTCCAAATTTCTGGATCCAAACGACCCCAAGAAGTTTTCAATTTGATATTATCTATATAAGGTGTAGCAATTTTTTTTTGTCTTTCCTCTATTGGTAAGCACGCTAAATAATGTAGTCGTAGATTGAAATATCACTTATTTCATTATTTGTTTTTTCAAAAAAATTTATAGTCAGTTAATATAACTTCACAAAATTGTCAGTTATTTAATTTGAGTAAAATATCAGTTTAGTCCCTCCACTTTAAATATTTTGATTGTTTTAGTTATTTAACTTAAAGTTTGTCCATTGAACTCCCAAAATATGAAAACTTGCATTTCATAAAGACACCTTTGGAATTGATAATTGTAACTTAACTCCTTGAACATCCAATGAATTTTTTTTGTGAGTCCAATGACTCTTTTTAATTCTTATAGCCGGAAATTTTTGCCTTATAAAACAACTTCTAATTGAGCTCCCCAACCCCTAATGTTGATAACTGAAATATAGTTTAGTTTCATCTTGTATACTGTTCATTTTGGTATAGTAATCAAATACCTAACTTTTAGCGGTCGTTTGGAATGAGATTTTCCGCATGGATTTTGAGAAGTGAGTTGCTAAAGGTCTCCCTTAAAATTGCTAAATGTCGCCCTATAAAACATCAAAGTTACAAATTTAACATTTTAGCTTCTTTACTCTTCTTTTAGCAAACAAACACCACTTAGTAAAGAAAATAAAACATTATTCAAAAGAGAGAATCCATCATCGTCATTCTGGAGTTGGAATCATCGATATGATGTCTGGATCATGACTAGCGACTCTGAATTGGTAAAGTTCACTCAAAAAATTGAAAAAAAAAGGGAACCGTAGCTCATTTGCGGTTGCACCATGGGCCAACCGCAGCTCACTTACGGTTCCACCATGGACCAACAGTAACTTGCCTTAGGTTGAGCGTTTTTTTTTTTTAAATTTCGTTAGAGAACGGGCGACGACGACGCGGGAAAGACGCCGACGAACTGGTGCGTCGAGAGGGATTCGCGAAGAAGGCAGATGAGGGGTTCAGCTTGAGGGGGTTAGAGATTGTTTGGTTTGTTTAAATTTTAAAATTTTATTGGGGGTATATAAGTCATATATCATTAGAGTTAGGGCGATCGTTAGCAATTTTAAGAACGATATTTAGCAATTGAGTTTTGAGAATCCATAGATTGGGGGGGGGGGGGGGGATTAGCTATTTTATTGAAGATTTTAGGTTGAGAAATTTAAGATCTCTTAAATTGATAGATATAAAAATCTCGCATAAATGTACATATTATATATCTTTATTTATAAGATCATTTTTGTTAGTTATATCCCATCTTTGTTTTTATTTATCCTGCCAAATACTCTTACTAATAACAACAAAAAATTTCTTCTTTTACGAAGACTTCTATTTACTCGAGTTTCCTAATTAATACTAAAATGTCATTTGAATTTGACCTGGCAAATTACAATCCGATTTGAAACCGCTCGAAAAGGAGAAATTCTTACAACCCAAAATCCGAATGATCCGAACCCGATAACCCCCGATTTTTTGGATTAGATTACGTGGGTTAGCGGGTCGATCCGTTAGACCCTTTTTATTTTATATATCACTCCCAAAATGATAAAATCACTCATAAATTGGTGAGATGTTTAAAAAAATGCAAAAGGAATTGAATGACATGTTTGGAGTTTAAGGATAATCAAATATCATG